ACCCAACCACTGCTACATGTGTGGTGGAATAGACCGCCACTTCTCTTGCAACATAGTTATTATATAATAAGATTTTGGTCGTTTTCTTTTCTAGGCGTAGTGTTTAAGGCGTTCGACTTACAAGATTCGGCTCATTGGCTGGAAACCTGTTGCCTTTTCAGCCGTGGGACCATTATAATGTGACACTCACTCCCACTACTCGTTGGTAAAAGAGTAGCCCAAGATTTGGTGGCAGGCACTGTTGACTAGCTATCTTCCATCTATTCTATCACTTCACAAAATTAGGGAAGAATAGCGCAGGTAACCATCGAGTAGCTTTGCGCAAAATTCAACTGTTCTTTTTTTTCTCCCTGGTATCATCTTAAAACATCTCATAGTGGCGAAATTGGATTCAGCCAGAGTTATGAGCTGGCTAAAGCAGATTCTGGGCTTTATTTGTGTTAAATCACTGCTGGACACAGTGTGGTTTTTTCATAGATTGCATTATCTTACTGAAAGAGGCGCGACCCTTTCACATAGAATATCATTAGCGTAAGTATAGAAGCATTGTTAAGAATGTTATAATAAGAGAGTGAACTTATAGCCCATTAACTATTGTACGTACAAAGTTCAAACCACCTAAAACAAGCTCAAACCATTTCACCACTCCCATTACGTTTTATAATTGAGTCAACATAGTCGCATCCAAAACGTTTAAGTTATTTTCAAGTTACTACTAAACCTACCCATCTAGCTTTGTGCTGTTTTTCATTATAGTTTGGACATTTAAGCCTTCAGTAAAACAACTTCATTAAGGTGCTGGGTAGTGTATTTGATGGCAGATATGAAATTATTTCTTCAGGTCACGTTTTTCGAGTGAGGACATGCTCATTACTAAAAGCACTAAGGCAGCAATAGTTAAAATTCAACAAACAAATATCTATTATGTTATATTACCAAAAGCACTAAGGCAGCAATAGTTGATAATATAACATAATAGATATTTGTTTTTGAATTTTAACTATTGCTGCCTTAGTGCTTTTGGTAATATAGTATAATAGATATTTGTTTGTTGAATTTTAACTATTGCTGCCTTAGTGCTTTTGGTAATATAGCATAATAGATATTTGTTTTTGAATTTTAACTATTGCTGCCTTAGTGCTTTTGGTAATATAGTATAATATATATTTGTTTGTTGAATTTCGCGCAAAGCAATATCCGAGAATATTTGCGCATAATCGTCCCTAATTTTGAACTTGTAGACAAGAGAGAAAGCAGCTAGCTGACAGCACCCACTGTCAACTCTTACCTGACCGAATAGTGGGATTTGAAAGCTATTCTTATAGTGCACCCACTGTCAACTCTTACATGACCGAATAGTGGGATTTGAAAGCTACTCTTATAGTGCACCCACTGTCAACTCTTACATGACCGAATAGTGGGATTTGAAAGCTACTCTTATAGTGCACCCACTGTCAACTCTTACATGACCGAATAGTGGGATTTGAAAGCTACTCTTATAGTGCACCCAAGGCTCCAAAGCACATTTTATGCGGCAATTGGATGCACTTGGATTCACAGGCCAGGCACGATAACCATGTCATACTACTGTAATTTTGAAACGAATTAATAAACGGTTAAACGAGACAAGGCTCTGCTTAACGTACATTTGATATCACTTGAAATATTCAAACCAAGTACAACTTTTTCTGTATCCTGACTCACATGCAGAAAGAAATCATTATATTGTATCATTTGATTTTTTTCTTTATATTCCATTAAAGTTGTAAGTTGATTTAAATACATTAAATGTTCGTTTAACTATATTCACATAAAAGGTCAAACGTTGTCTTTATTGTTGTTTTCTCTTCATTAGCAATATGTAGAGTTAAATAATTAACTACATCAATTCGATTAACTTACATGCTTAATCTGTTTGCTTTTGACAACTCTATTAATCTCAAACTTTTAGTCATTTTAACTATTTTCAAACTGACCAGTGGAGTCTGTTCGTTTACTATATGTATTTACTTAGTTCATTAACTAATCAGTAATTCTGTGTAAGTTTAAGCTGCTTTAAAACAGGAATAGGGAATAATATTCATACTATGTGTGCAATGATAAAGTAAAGAAAATTCAGTACCGTTTACACTTATCTTAATTTCGAGTTCCCCAGATAACGTAGTTCTGAGCTTTATTAGTCAGTTGTCATCCATTCCATTATTTGTTGGCCAGCTGATGAGTTAACTATTTTTTTCTTGCAGTTATGTTGATATAATGTATTAAAAAAACTGAAAAAAAACTACATGTTGCCCTTTCACTCACATGACGAGTTACTCTTTCAGCCAGTTGATCTAAGAAGATATTTACCGATGTGTAGAATACGTGTTAAGTCAAATGTATTTGTTCTTGCGTTTTGATCACTAGGTATTTATAGTTTTGATTACTGGAAGAACGGTAATTAACTTACTCACCTTGAAAAGAAATGGATTACTTTTTAACAGTCGTTTTATGCAACTATTTCTTTATTAAATACTAATGTTTCTTAGTTGAGGCTTCCGATAAGTTGGATTCAACGCACTGATAAACTAAAAGCAAGCTTATAAGTCTGAGAAGAAAATGAGCAGCATTAAAGTTTCATAATGTCACTTATGATTGGTTCATTTGGATGAAATTAAAAAATATATTATATATATTTCTTAACATTGAACTGGAGGAAAGGTGTTTGTTTATTACGTTGACTTATGAATCTATTTAATGAATCACAGCTTCTTCTTATGAACCTATCTAATCTATCACAATTCCTTCTTATGAAAGAAGATGTAAATAAAATATGTTTCCACATCCAAATGACAAATAAAACGTCAAGAATCAGAGAAGTTTTGAACTCGTCTGTTATGATGCACTTCTGAATTTAGAAATGTACAACTAGAGCCAAAACATTTTCTCAGTAAAAGTAATTATGCTTTATTTTCATCGCCTAGAGATAAACAAACAGTCAAAGAAACAAGAATTGGCTACGAACAGGCTATTTAAGTGTCAAACCACTTCTTTTACTTGATTAATTGCGATAAAATTCTGTGATCTTTATATTGGTTCTTTTATAATGATTACAATATGTCAACCAAAAGAAAAAAAGAATACAAATTAAAAATTTATAATGAAACAGCATAAAATACAAGATATCTAAAAATAATCGTACGTATCCTTTTTTTATATAAATATGTTCTCTCAGGGAAAATTATTATTCAGAACAAATATATGTCTTCAGACATAGCAATTTCATGGCAGTAAGATACAGAAACCATTCGTATATTTGAGAGACATATGCCACTATAAATTGAAAAAAAAAGGAACTTCACATGAAAGGTTGATTTTTTGGCTACAACTTATGGCAATTGGAAGTTTAAGTAAATGTATTTACATAACAAAAATCGAAGTATTTTCCGTAGTTAGTTTGATTCAGTAGTGTTAGGCTAAACATTATTATAATAATGTCAATGAACTAAAGATGGTTTCTTCACAGCTGGTAGTATGATATAAACGATATTATGTAAATCGTTAAAATAACACTTTACACTTCGCCTTTTAGCAAGAGATGTTCATAAAGATGTTTATTTTATTATTATTATTATTATAAGACACATTTTCATCACTAATGTTAGTATATCACAGTCTTATATGTGATAAAGCATAAAGATATGCTCGGCGTACTTACGTTTAAATAAAACATTAGAAATAAGAGTCAGAAACTCTAGATATAAGATAGGCATGAACTTGTCTGTCTTTCTTTTTGGAATAGATCATTGAGTATATTTTATGAATTGTTTAGTTGTCTCCTGCTGATCGCTTGGCACTGGCCAGTCTTTGGAAGCAAAAACAAATGAACAATGATTTAACCTGACCTGTTAAAAATGGTTAGACGAGGTCGATTTCCGAACAGTGATGGGCGTTTTCTTTTCCGGAAAAGGCTCGAAAATCTATTTCTTTCTGTTGTAGTAGTTAATGTCTCCGTTGTGGTCTGTATTTTTTCGGTTTCAACTTCAGTTATTTCATCTAGATCTTTGATGACTGTAGTAGTTTCTACTTCACGAGATGGAGTAGTGAATAAAGTAAAAGTTGTCGTTGCACCTGTTGTGGAAATTGAAGGTACTACCTTCAGTGGTTGTTGTTCTTGTTCTACTACTACTTCATACTTTTCTTTTTCCACTGCTTCTCCTCCTTCTTCATTGACTTTTTCCACTGTTTTATCCTCTTCTTCATTGGGTTGTTTTTCTTCCACTATTCTATCACCTTCCTTGAATTTTTCTCCTTCCACTTCCTTGTCATCTTCTTCTTTGTATTTTTCTCCTTCCACTGCTTTATCCTCTTCTTCATTGGGTTGTTTTTCTTCTTCCACTGCTTTATCCTCTTCTTCTTTGTATTGTTCTCCTTCCACTGCTTTATACCCTTCTTCTTTATATTGTTCTCCTTCCACTGCTGTATCTCCTTCTTTTTTGTATTGTTCTCCTTCCACTGCTTTATCCCCTTCTTCTTTGTATTGTTCTCCTTCCACAGCTTTATCCCCTTCTTCATTGTATTGTTCTCCTCCCACTACTTTATCCCCTTCTTCTTTGTATTGTTCTCCTCCCTCTGCTTTATCCCCTTCTTCTTTGTATTGTTCTCCTCCCACTGCTTTATCCCCTTCTTCTTTGTATTGTTCTCCTCCCACTGCTTTATCCCCTTCTTCTTTGTATTGTTCTCCTTCCACTGCTTTATCCTCTTCTTCTTTGTATTGTTCTCCTTCCACTGCTTTATCCTCTTTTTCTTTAAATTCTCCTTCTGTTGGGTCTTCTTCTTCCTCTGCTTGATCTTCTACTTCCTTGGAATTTTGTTCTTCCTCTGCTTTATCTTCTTTTCCTCTGGATTTTTCTTCTCCCGCTGCTTCATCCACTTCTACTATGGATGTTTCTTTTCTGACTCCTTTATCATCTTCTCTTTTAAGTGTCTCTTCTTCTACTGTTTTATTATCTGTTTTCAATGTTGTTTCTTTCAATTCTCCACCCTCTTCTTCTTCTTCAGGTTTTTCGTCTTCGTCACTAATTTCTTCCACTTTTTTACCTCTTCTTAAATTGTTTCGTCCTCTTCGAAGGAATGGTAGACGGGGTCGACTTCTGGAACGACTAAAAATATTACTAGGTAAAATACGAGAAATTAAGTTAGTTGGCCTTGACGTCGTGCTTTGACTATTTCTGAAATTTCTTCTCGTTGTGGACTGCGAAGACTCTGCAACAGCTGTAGATAACGTGGTAGTTGATTCTTCGTTTCCATATTTATGCACATCTTTTTCATCGCCATCTTTTTTGTTATCGCTGTTATCATTTTTAAATATTCCAAATCGACTTTTATTTCCGAATGATGAGCGTCGACGACTAAAAGCAATGCTAGTTTTTCCACTTCCAAATCGGGGTCTGAATCTTGAGATTCTAGATGCTGTTGTTGTGCTTTCTTCGTAACCATTTGTTTCCTTCTCTGGTTCTTTTTTTGTGGTTGTTGTAGTTAATGCTAGTATTGGGGGTTTACGTAACTGGAACGACCCTGGTAGCCTTCCCGATCCAAAACGTATACGGTTATTGAAACGCGTTGGAACAGCTTTCGTAGTTGTAATAATGTCCGTTGTTATTGTAGACTCTGTTTCTGTCGCAGTTTCCGTTTCTGTGGATTCAATGTTTTTCGTTAGTGGTTCAGTATTGACTTCTAATATTTCATTGCTCTTAATTACCGTGTCATTAGTATGTACAGAATCTAGTATGTTCACCTCACCTGGTGATGTAAAACTGGAAGCATTACGAACAGTAAGATCCACTGGAACTTGTTCTTTTTTGTCTTCAACAGAAATATTTGTGTATAAAGATGAACTCTGCCTCTTATTAGAGTAATCAACCAAGTTTGGGGCTAGAGGAAAACGTGGTACATCGTTCCCATAACGATATACATTGGATATTGGACGAACAGATGCATTAGATTCTTTGAAGTTTCTTGATGAAGCATCAACACTTTTGGATTGGTCAGTGTTGTTGAAAGTTAGCGAACCAGGTTCTTGATCCAAAGAGCGATCTCGAAGGGAAGAGGCACCCAAAAATGTATTATTTTCTCCAGTAGCGGGCACATTTCTCGCTTCTATAGGGCTGTTTATTTTCTCATCATTTTCAAAACTACTCTCATTTTTTGCTTGATCGTAATTGTCCAGATTAGGAATATCATCGAATTTTAAGGAAGAGTTAGTATTGTTGGTTGCTTTTTCAGCATCTTCATAGTAGTAATAGTAATACATCACATATATATCTTCACTGTTGTCTTTATCTTTAGCAGAATTGCCGTTACTATAATCAATTTCTGATGCTGGAGTTTTCTGGATCACAGACTGTAATTGGGGCTGAATAGAAGTGACTAGCTTATCTTGAAATACTGCATCAGTGGTAGAAGAAGACAAAATTGCATGAGAACTATGTGACTGGTGATTTTCTTGTGATGAATCTGGTGTTTGAGTTTGTTTCGAGTTCATTACAAATGCTTGACCATTCATGAGTACTATCTGTGGGTTTTCCTGTTCCGAGTTTCCGGACTGGAGAGATTCTAGTTGGTAATTCTTGGGTTGATGATTTTGAGATTGTAGCCGAGATGGTTGAGCTGAAAGTTGATAATGAATCTGTGTAGGGGAATTATATAGCTGGGGTTTTGTATGAGAAGAAAACCGAGGCTGATGATGGGAATAAAACTGAGGTGGTAACTCATGGGAGGATTGAGAAGGTACCTGATAGTTTGGTCGAATCTGACTCGGTTGTATTTGGGACGCTTGTGGTGTGTGAGATTGGAGTGGTTGAATAGGAAGTTGATATTGTAGCTGAGGCTCAGTAGAGATATAACTAACTTCAACACTAGACGACTGTGTCCACTTATTTGTCTGAGACTGAGGAGATAGAGGCAAATCGTATTGCGGAAGAGGAAATTCTGATCGTTCTTGAGGTTGGTTTTGCTTCTTCAGTGGAAGTTGAAACGGTTGGTTCTGTTCTTGAGCAAAAGATAAAAAAGGCTTGTTCAGTTGAGTTTGTTTATTGTTGGCTGGTAGAGGTTTAACATAAACACTATATTTTTCTGGAAGTGGAGGCGACAGCTGTCTTCTACGTCGTACGTTTCGTTCACCACTGCTAATGTGGATAACAACGAGGAACAGTACCCCCAGCGAAGATGAACTGTATAAAAATATAAAAGATAACATGACGAATCCTTTTAACTGACTATTTTTCATAAAATAATAATAACATTTCTGATTAAAAATAGTTAAACATATAAAATATAAATTTATTTTGCTGTTTCGTACAGAAACATTTGTTTTTACCTCTTCATTCTTAATAACAAAAATTACAAATGTTTTCTGATATTGAAGTAAAAAATTCATTAACAAAGACAAACTATACATCATTCATTATATCCCAGTGAACTACAGTTTTGCCCATCCTTTATTTACTTACAAAAGTGTTTTCATCTTCAAAATTGATCATTAACGTTCAATATCCATGTAATTACAGAAATATTCTATACTTTATATTAACAGATTAAACTAAAAAAATACTATATCAAAATGCGAATGCCTATCTGCGTATTAACTATCCATTAATTTCATAACAATGATTTATAAGCATAAATGAAGTGATTTATTTTTGGAGAAACATTCTACACGTTTCGACAGTACATTGGTTTGTTTCGTCCAGGTATGATCAAATGTCTTATTAACTTTTGTGTGTGTATGTGTGTTCTTTACAACAAAGCCACATCGGGCTATCTGCTGTGTCCACCGACGGGAATCGAACCGCTTATTTGAGTGTTGTAAATCCGTAGACTTACTTACCACTGTCCCATCGGGGGACTTATTAACTTTTTGATTCCCAACATTGGTATAGTTTTTGTATTAACTCAAATCATTTACTAACATGGACCCATTTCGGTTCAGCGACTTAACTGTGAGGTTATATTCTTCATTCTTCCCCATACGTCACAGGTCTATTACCTAAAATTATCAAGAGCTGTTATCTCCAGTGTGCCCACCGCGGGAAATCGAACCCTGGATTTTAGCATTATAAGCTTCATGCTTACCGCTGACCCACCGAGGACAAAATAATTAACAAAGACATGCATAAATCATGTTGGTCTTATATACACATGTTTGAAAACCTGGTAACAGACGGGGTTTAGGACGTTCTTCACTCAAAAGCTATTTGCATAAGCAATAACGAAATTCTGCGTTTGCATGGATAAAAATTAAAAAATTTCGGGCATTTAACGAATTGTACAGCCCATTCTGTTGTTTGAGTTCAAGGCTTAAGAAGCACGTGTAAAAACTTCATAATAAAATAACATTAAGACATTTTTGTAAATAAATAAAGAATTGGAAAAACTGCGGTTCACTCGAAATGGTATACCTAGACTGTGACTTTCTTTCAACTGTCTAAAATGTCAGAATTCTAGGAAGTACATCAAATGAAATATAACTGACAAGTTAGATT